GACGTAGCCGTCGTCTTCTCGCATTAGATAAACTTTGTGCTTTTTAAAAATAACTGATATGTCATTAAAGAAAATACAATACAGCTTCTTGGTGGATCCATTTCGTCAAATCACTACGTAATGCATTTCCTCTTTCCGGTAAAGAAGACTGTAAAAAAAGGCGCTGCGAGGGCAAATCTGTCTCAAATCTTTCTTGTGACAATTTCCTTCAGTTTAAGTGTATAGGGCGTGTTGATAGCGTGACTCGAAATGAAGGCAGAGTGTCGAGGGTATAGTTTGGGATTGGGCCATTGTGTATTTTTTTTTGTTTTCATTTTTCGCGCTGTTCTGTTTCCTGTGCGCTTGGAATTGTGGGATATGGAAGTGGTAGTGGACTGTGGAATCGCGCGAGCCACCATCGTTGTTGACTCGCTTCAGGAGGGCATAATCGACCACTCCTCCTTAGCCCTTGCTGCTTTGAGACACACTTAAATATGGCGACGGGTCTCGGGAACGCGCAAACGAAGGTGGAGTGTGTAGGGACCGGTTTGGGATTGGGCCGTATAGTCAAAATTTAGTAGAAAAGTACCACCCGAATAAGGGCATAGCGGTGCGAGCGATGAATCTGTTTAACGACAATGCAATGTGAATGTCTACATTTCCGCGAAATGGAAAAGGAGGCAAAAGCGGCTGTCATTGGATAGGTTCCCTGTTAAAGTCGCACAAAAAGAAAAAGTTTCCAGTGAACAAACAGATAGCAGTGATTCCGATAGTTATAGTGAAAGTCGTCCTACAAAATAACCCTCCTCTTCTCCTCTTTCTCGTCTCCCTCACACCATCCACAATTCCTTTCAAAGGTAAAGTGCAGGTTAATTTGTTTTATATATTTTTACTTTATATTTTGTATTAATAATTTTTATATGAATATTTTTGGGTTGTGGAACGAATCATCTGAGTTTCCATTATTTCTAATGGGAAAATTCGCTTTGATATACACTCACCTAAAGGATTATTAGGAACACCTGTTCAATTTCTCATTAATGCAATTATCTAATCAACCAATCACATGACAGTTGCTTCAATGCATTTAGGGGTG